ATCCATCACTCCCTTGAACTACATCATGACTTAATCCCTCCTCAACCAAGGGTACGTAGGCAACTTGAAACTTCAAAAACTTCAAGTACAGTCACATCATCAACAAAAAAAACGTAAACACTTTGAAGAATAAAGAAAATATTCAAAAGGTGAATACTTTATTTCTTTAAAGGAAGAATTTGGCTACAAAGCTTTATTACAAAATGAGCAAAAACAAAGAAGGCTTCAAGCACAAAAATGGAAGACATTACCAAACAGCTATGTCCCTAAAACTACGACGACGTTCTTCAAGCAAGCCTTCGACAGTCTCCAAAGTCTCTACATCGGTGGGAGACAAGGTAGGTACTTCCATGGCTGCACCTCTCCCTTGCTCTAGCGTGAATTCTCCTCTTGATGTTGAGAAAGTGTAGCTTCCTGTTCCGAGAGAACGCCTTGAAGTCGTGATGCTTCAGGTTCCAAATGCCCTTGCTTTTGCGCCAATGCTTCAAGACACACATGGGCCAAAGATAAAAAGGTTCATATAGCTTGATAACCTTCCGAAGTAGCTTGTTGAGAAGACGAACTTAAGGCAATTGATAAGTCTATTGTTGCAAGTTGTTGAGCTCTGATCTCTGGACTCAACTTCTTCAAGGAAATAGCATACAAGGAAGAATACTCAGTTAAGGTAGCCATAAGTTTGGCAATATTGACTCTCAAGAGCGAGGAGTCAACATTAAGGTTGTCAATCGGAGAAACAAGCTTCAACAAGTCCTCCTTAAGCAAAGCAAGGTCCTCCAATGAGCATTTTGAAATTCTCTTCTCAATATGGCTTTTAAGATACATGGCCATGCGAAGCTTGACGCAATGGACAAACTACTCAGTGCCACCAATTTTCGGCCCTCTCAGAGAGATCTCAAAGTTAGATGGTAAAGGTGTTGGACGCATAGTGGGCTCTTGCATACCTTCACTTACACACAGCAAGCTTAGGCAATTTGGCGGATTTGGAACAAGCTTTGCAATAGGCGAATTCCCAATCTCCTCGTCCGTAGGTAAATTGCCTCCAAATAGCATCTCTATACAGGAATGAACGCCCATGTTCGCTGAGTCAAATTGAGGAGGACTGAATACTTTCTTCTTCTTATGACGAAAATTGACATCACTATCATCCAAAACACCTTCATGCGGTTGCTTGTTTAAAACTTGTTGATGCTGCCGCAGAACAAGCACATCTTCGTGTGAATCAACTTCATCACCCACCTCTTCAGAAGCATCCAAACAATGAAAAGACAAGCACGAGCATTGAGGGGATAAAGTTGTGAGTCCTTCTTGCAAAGGAGATGTACTAGCATAATCAAAAGGCGCTACCTGCGTAGAAACCGCGGAACAACCCTTTCTTCGCGCATCATTGAGTGAATGAGAAGAATTAGTGCCACTTGCCATCCCTAAGTCTTCACGGTGCACCTTCAACCACCAACCTACATAAGCACGGGTCACTGCATTGCTCTTAAACTCGTCCTTGGCCGGAAGGGTGTTGGAAGCATTTTTGCATGAACGAGTATAAGACTCCCAATGCATATACATGGCTTGCAAGGATTCCGTCTATGTGTTCTCTTTCTGCTTGCGTAGCACATGTTGGATAAAACCAAATTGCCTGCTGAAACGGTGAAGACTATACGGCTGAACAAGACATCGATCTCCTTGCCGCAAAGAAACATACCTCAAGCGAAGATTAGTAAGATAAGACAAATCGGAAGAACGAAGGTGTGAATCATCTATGAGGCCTCGCCGTGCCAAGCCAACTCTTGCTAGGTGGTCCATCATCAAGCCATCACAACTTCTAAACAACACTTGCGCTTGCGAATCATCAAGACTCTTCGCGGAAAGCACGCCATAATACTTTGTCATCAAAGGCCTCGGCTTGACTAAACTTGGTGAAGAAGGCCTTATCTTGTCTAAAGTCGACGAAGAAAAATGAGTGCGAAAGTACTCACCCAACCAACCGTACACATAGTGATAGGGAAGTACCGCAACACGATCTTCGATGCTCATCAAGTTCGAAACAACACTCAAGCCATTGTAAATATTGGCTAAGACCGAAATAGCAAGGCTAAAAGATTCACCTACAACCATCTTGCTAGCAACTTTGAAGACTTTGGGATAGAAAAAGTTTACGTCGTCTTTGGGGAAGAAAACTTACAAAGCCAACAAGCTAAGAATACGGCTAGGTAAAATTCTTCCAAGTCTTCTGACGCTACGCCAAGATCCTCAAATGATCTTGACTCGGCAGGGATACGGCTCCCAGCTAGACCAATGACACCTGACGGATCCAAGTCTCATTTCGGCTTCATCGTCATGTTGCGGCCAGTTTTCTTCGAAGGTCTCTTGTACCTCATGGCATCCCCATACCAAAATTGGATCCATGAAGACATCTTCACGCCTGACTTACCCTAAGCATCCTAGGAAAGCTTCTAATACGCCCAAAATAAATAGCGACAACTTGCAGGCAATCCTCAGCTAATGCGATGAGAAAACTTCTTCACGCTAGGAATAACTTCGTTGTAAAATTTTCCCTGGATCGGGAAGCCTCGTATCTTGTGGAGATGCCAAAGTGAAATCGACATCTCCCCCTAAGCTGTGTAAAGTGTGTTGGTTGCTGAACACCAGTGCTCGAAAAACACACGAAGGACGGAATGATGGAGATCGTAGCTAAACAAAGATGCGTACACAACGTGATAAAGGCCCACGTTGGTAAACATATATTTGGATCGGCTTAAGACATCTTCAAGCCACTCCCAATAAAACTCAGCAAAGATGGCTTCTCCAATAGTTGGCAAAGTGTTATTCCAAGTCACAGCTCCGCTACGGATGGGATCGCCAAGAAGCTCAAACGAAGCTAGTGAATTGTCATGAGCATGGTGCGAAAGATTCAAGATTAGAATCTTCGATGTACACGCCTTCTTCTTCGTAGTTAATCAACTAAATTCTATTACCTCCCAAGACACTTCAGAAGACCACGACTTGATGTGCATCAAGTTGTTTTTTGCAAGAAGAACAAGCGCCCTAGGGCCAGTCAATGGCGCTCAAAGCTTCAACATCGTCTCTCTATCTTAGAATCACATTCCTTCGCAAAAGCAGTGATTGTATTATTCTTAAAGCACTTGAAAAATACCATGGCTGCAACAAAATAAACAAAGCAACATAAGCACAAAAGTGGGGTAGCAAAGAAAGAAAAATCACTTCACTAAAGCAAAAGACATGTGAGACAAACCTTGTAAGCGTTGAAAAATGACGATTATGAAGTCATAACCACGAAAGAAAATCAGCCACAAAGCTTGGTCAAGCACAGCAAAGAAGACAACTCCAAGACGGTTCTTCGACGCACGCTACAATAGGAAAGAAAACCAAAATGCCATGTAATCGCCCTATGCAGCCTTGCAACGATTACGCAAGCAGTTTCTTGCATTGCACGGCAGAGAATAGCTACATGATGGTTCTTCGAAGCGAGCTACAGTAGCAAAGAAAACCAAAACACTATGCAATCACACTACACAACCCCGCAGCAATTACGCAAGCAGTCTTACACTGCACGGCAACGTCACCACCGAGGAAAGTTGTGACCAAAAGGCACTACATAGCATAAACTCGCTGCAGTCTTTTGCACAGCCCCACACAGTAAAAGCGATGCATTGCAACAAGCTTCAAGCAGCTACTACTCGCACCAAACAGCAACAAGGGGTAGGGCAAGGAGCAGCAACAATGCACACGGCAGCAGTAGCAACAACAAATGCGCACGATAACATCACTACCAAGGGAATGCTGTGACCAAAAGGCGCTACACAGCGTAAACACGCTGCAGTCTTTTGCACAGCACCACGTGGTAAATAATGACACACTGCAACAAGCTCCAAGCAATAGCAACAAGCAAAACCCACGGTAAAAGCTCCAAACAAGCCCACGGCAAGAATTGTGTGTTGTGAAAAAAAAAAATGCACACTCAATGGTCCTATAAATAAGGGTCAATTGCTTCCCAACGCTATAAGGGAAATACATACCCAAATAGCAAAAGGAAAATCAAAACAAGGATGCACATTCCAACCAAAAGAAGGAAGCAAATTCTAAGCAAAAAAATGGCAAGTTTAAGCCAATCTGCGCAAGTAAGACGTTTTTGGTGATAATTCAACTTTCCGAATGAGTTTTGATGCAAGACGAATTGGAAAAGGAAGCTAAGTGGCTGAGGATCATTGTGCCAAACGTTCCAGTTTTCAAAGTTTATCCCACAGAAGTTGTTTTCCTATCATGATTGCGCAGCTGTAGGAAAATACAAAGTTGAAGGCTTTCTTGATTTTTCCTAGTGGCATGTGATATATACCTAAAAAGATAAGGGATAAGACTACATTTCCCATATTTTTTACAGAATTTTCCAAAAAATAAATCAATCTCAAACTGGGCGTGCAAGGCAAATGACATGTTTCCCAAAAAAAAAAAAACCTCCTTGTTGTAGGAAATCAAAAGGGGAAAGAAAAACTCTTTCCTTGCCATGGAAGAAATGTTTGGTTCAATAAATACACCTCAACGGCCCTTGAAAAAGTAAACTAATTCAAGATTAAATCTCAACGACCCTTGAGTTTGAAGATTCACATTGCAGGAGTTCCAAACACATTTCCTACACGTGGCAAGCACATGCCTACAACGCACCTTGAAGTGGGGGCATTTGTAAATATGTAAATTTCGTTGCATACAAATAATGCATCGCAAAGCTCCACGTGGTATATGACTTATCACAAATGAAATAATCATCAATGACATGTGGCACAAATCAAGCAAATGAAGCTTAAAACTTCCCAGAATTCGACCAAAGAGAGAAAACCTCTCTTAAAAAAAAAAAGGGCAAGTGTTCAAAGTGTTCTCAAAACAAGAAAGAAAGTTCAGGCATCTTCATAAAACAGTAAGAATTGAAGATTACTCACAAAATAGGCAACAAAAACCCTATAATTCGGCCAAGGGAGTAAAGATGTCTGAAATTAAGACACAAAACATCCCTAAATTCTCCCATAGACGAATTAAGACATAAATTAAAACCAAATCCATCCAAATGTAAGCTTTGAGAAGCCTATAAATACAAGATCCTCCCACAAGCATAAAGGTCGAAAAATCTCTACAGAAGAAACTTTACCAAACCTTTGAAAACTAATACACTACCAAAGCCCTCATTGAAGAACATTCAACCAAAGCTGAAGTTTTCTCTTGACCAAAGCCAAAGCACTTCCTTGAAGAATCAACAAACGCTCGTGCCCATCCCTTGAAGACTTTATTGCAAGCTTATAAACTTGTAGCAACGTTCGTTTCAAGATCAAGTCGCCAAGACCCTAGAAGCAACGAAATCCCGCATCACACACTACCTTTGCCACACCCTTGAGGTGAAGATTATCCACGCATTTTCAAGCTCAAACCTTGAAACAATCGTTCAACAGTTCGTCCGAGATCAAGTCACCTCAACCCTTGGATCAACAACCTACGCATCTACATCAAATTTGAAGACTGAATCAGAGGAAAAAAGTAAACAGTGATTGTGACCTATAAATTCAAATCAATACAAAACTACTTTGTACACGTGTTCTTGTTTCATTCGACACTAGAATTTTCATGTTTACAAAAACATGTATGAATATACCACCCCAATATTTTTTGTGCCCCCGATTGTTTGGGGTACCAGACGATCTCCCTGCTCGCACTTGTCAGGGCTAACCCAATCTACACAAAGGGATAGAAAAATGGATTAAGTCTCACAACGAACTAGCAGAGTGTTAACACCTAGACGTTAGGCCCCTGCCCCTACCTGTCTCTTGACTAGCGCCTTTAAAACCTTGCTTCTGCATAAACATGAATATTAAAGAAAATTGCATAAAAACACTGCAAGTACAGCTAACGTTGTGATACAATTATTTACAATGTTCCCTTCCTCCAAAGCTCTTCCCCGGTTACTTCAACTTTAGACACTGATGAATTCCAGTCTGCTCAGTTCAGCGATCACCGCTGTCTACTCCCCGAATCTGGCCGTCCGACAAAAAACATAATGATGCCTGCATTTTTAAGCAGAGTAAACATGACCAAATTTGTCATACCATGCAGTTTTCATGGCTCTCGATAAAAGCCCTGAAATATAATACATAACGCCCTAGTGCCGCAAGAATTAAGTCAAAACGATAAAGAATGCGAATAGAAACAATCAGCAAGAACCGAAAGAAAACCAAGCAGATTTTCAAGGAAATTAACGACCCTAAATCATCAAAAGTAAACCCACATAAGCAAAATACTCAACGTCAAATTAAGGAGAAAATTCTCATACCGGTTGACAAGTGGTTGCTCGATAGTATTGGAGCTCTCCACAACAGGGATTTTGATAGTGTTCAGATGGAGGGGGTTTGGTTCATAACAAATATTGCAACGGAGGGGGTCTCCCTCACCGTGGCTTACATACAGGATCACCCTTAACAAGGGAGTTTTGCCTGTAATACATATATATATTGCATATGGTTTTCACATCAAAGGGAGAAGCAGTACGGCTAATGCATCCCACCATAACCAAGCTCGCCATCCATATTTATTTCTACAAAGCTTTGTTCGGCCTCTCCCATGTCTCTTTTCGCATCCTCAAAATCTAACTCTGCCAAATTTAGCCTAGCCTTCAACCTCTTGACTTCAATCTCCAAAGCATCCACATTATTTCTCAGCTCTTTTACCTCTAGTTCCCTTTCCACAAACTTCTTCATACCCAATGCGGACTGAACATGAGGCTTCAACCAAGCCAAGTCAAATCTGAAGGACTCAAGCTCCTCCCATAAAAGTTGAAGGTGCTCACAAGCATCCTCGTTCATATCTGTACCCTTGTTAGTCTTTAGAAAATGCAGGAGTCTACCCAAAGCTGTGAATGCCCATTCAGTAAACATAGGACTCCTCTTCCTTTGGCACTCGATCAATGAAGGATGCAACAAACAGACTTCCTCTAGGAATGGAACAAAAGCTTTGTCTATTTTCCCTAAACCCCTGAAATCCATGAGCTCGCCAACTGGGGCAGAGGTTTTTTGCTCATGTTGCTCAAAATCAGCATTTGTTTGCTTTTGTTCAGAACTTGTTGCATCCTGAAAAGCAAGCACTTGTTCAGAAATAGGCGCTGTAAGTTGTACAGCTTCCACATCTGAATACCCTTGCCTTTCATCTTCATGGTGTGAGGGCTTTATAGGAGGACGAAACCAAGTTTCCTGGACTTCGGCCATATAGTCAACCTGACTGACAGCAACCTCAGCTTCAAGAACACATGTATCATTCACAATAAACCCTTGGGCGACATCACAAAGCTCACTTAGAGGCATGAATGATGTGAAGCCCCAATCCATTTTACTTGCGCAGAACACATGTTTAGTTTCTGTAAAATCAGAATAAGACAGATTACAAACAATTATAATAAGACAAGCATAGCTCATAGGCAATTAAAGAATAATAACAATGGAAACTCAACATTACTATCCTGTACACAGTAATTCTCTTCTCTGGTAGTCTAGTATGTCTGGGCAACAAAAGTTGACATGCTTTCTGAAGAACTAAATATATACCCCTTCTATGGGAAAGTAAAAGTTACCACTCTTGTTCCTCTTTAATTTTTTTTTTTTCCAAAAGAAACCAAAATCTTATTACGAAAATTATCAAATTTATGGCAGCAAAACAATTAAGTTAAATTAGACGACCAGACATTCAAGCTTCAAACCACACTCAATCAACTTGCTGCAACTTCCCAGTCCAGCAACCATGCTGGTGATTGGCATGCATAGATACTCCCTGAACTCTACATTGACTGAAGCCCAAAGAGTTGACATAAAACTAACTCTACCACAAGCACACCTACCCCTGAACAATCCTGAAAAATCCTTCTAGTTTCACCGTTTCTATCCCCAAAAAACGACCATCACCCTTCAACCTAGAGTTTTGACATTCATGCCTTTTCCCACAACCTCGAGAACTGCATGCTTAACAATTCATAAAATAACTTCTGGAATCGCCCAATTTACCTGAGCCTAATTTCCTCCTATCATCATATCTGAGACTTAGTGGGACGCTGTATGTCCAGAACAAACAAGAGAAACAAATTTTCATATTTCCATTCTTTCTTCCAGCTAGTCCCCTGTTCCATGAAGTACAAAAATTGCTACTGCAACTGATGCCAAACCCTAAAGCCGATAGACAACACTTGGTACGAAGGAGTCTTGCGAAAAACATAACAAGTGCAGACAAGGCAATCAAAGATTGAATTGCAATCTGAAGTAAAATAATAATATTCGAGCAAGTGAGGGCCTGAATGAAAGCAAAACCAACAGAAATGCACCAACATAATTGTGAAATGAACAAGATGAAGTGAGGGCAGTGAGGGCATGTGACTTACCAACTGTTATGGACTTATCATAATTGACTTGGTTGACGACAGTCAAGGTGAATTGGGCATATCTACTCCACCCAGACGGCAATGCTGAAGCATCTGCCACTTTCAAATATATCGACAGGTCTTGCGTTCCAGGGATTCCGCTGCTGCCCTTTGGATATACGACAATTTGCCTGATGATTAAAACAACATATACATCTTATAAGGAAAGTGATTTTCATACTCCTATTTTAATCTGGACGGGTCCAGAAGGAGAACAAAAACAAGGTTTGATATTTATACCAAGATTTCAGAAAGATGGGTCATCGGCCAACCACTAATCAAACGTATACTGTCCTGTCCTCTACTTGCATTTTACCACATATCAGCATAACAGGGTTTTATCACAAAAAACCTCAGTGTGTCATTACAAGAATCAAACAACCAAAGTGCATATATACAAGAATTAAACAACCAAAGTACATGTATACAAGAATCAAACCACCAAAGTACATATATACAAGAACCAAAACAACCAGAGTACATATATACAAGAACCAGACAACCAAAGTACACATATAAACAAAAATCAAACCATAAGAAGAAAGTGAAACATACCATTCAAAGTCACCGACATTAAAACTATCGGAGTAATGTTTCTGGGATCTCAACCTAGAGAATTTCTCGATCTTCCATGTGAACGTCACCGATACAAGCTCCCCAACTTGTTTTTTCTCCATTTGCTTCTTCTGCAACTCAAATGCACCTAACAATCTATAAAACAAACAAGAAAAACACCAAAGTACATATTTATATACTAACATTTAACACCCAAAAAACCCAGAAATAAAAAAGATACAAAGAACACATACCTTCCTCAAATGAACGAATCAAACTTGGCACTTGCAGATTGAGTGAGAGAGAGGGGAAGAGGAAAGAGGATGAGGCAATGACTTATGTAGGTTTCTTCAGATATAATTCGTGGCTCCTGTTTTCCCAGGAGCAAGTGAGCATTACAAGATGCCGTGGCAAACAATAAGCCACACACCGCTCTGGTCTCACTGAACAGAAGGACAGTAGTGGACCCCATGATTGGAAACCAAGCAGTCGCCAATCACGGGAGCTGCCAAGTCTACCGTCTACAGTATCTAGTGAAATTCATTGCGGGCGGAATATTTTGAATGAGTAACTTTAGAGCAAGTCCACCGTTGTGGACTGCTCGGGGGACAGTGGACCAACCAGGGCTCCATAAGAGCATCCTCAGCGTGGGGTTTTGCTCGGGGGAAGGGCTCCAAAACAATGGCCCGAGAGCCGGTGGCTTGGCTCCAGCATGGGGGAGCCGGATGGAAGGGGGAGGCCCGAGGGCCAGGCCTGTGAGGGATTGCCAGGCTTTGAGCCCGAGGTGAGGGTGACGCAATGCTGACGCCAGGATGGCGTCAGCGCATTATTTAATTTTTTTTGTGTCAGGCGGGTGCACCCCACCCGTGCGTGGGGGCGCGTCGCCGACACAAAAAAAATTTAAAAAATAAAGTGTCAGTTACCGTTGGGAAGCCACGTGGCTTCCTACGGTGCGTTAGATCTTAACGGTCACTTAATGTGGACCGTTAGATCTCAACGGTAAAAAAAAAAAAAAAGAGTCAGATCTAATATCTACCGTTCGATCTGAGATCAACGGTGGATATTAAAATGCTTTATAAATTAAAAAATAAATGAAAAAATAGTTTTAAAAATCTGAAAAGTTACCGTTGTGACACGTGGCACAATCTGGAGTGTTGGAATTCAAATTTTTTTATATCCAACGGCAGAGATTAATTAATTGAATAAAAATTTAAAAAAATTCAAAAAAATATCTGAAAAATCTGAAAAAAAATTGTAAAAAAAATTGTTTTTACTTTTCTATAAATACCTTCTCATTATCATCTACCTTACACAACAATTTCATATTTTCTCAACTACTTTCAATCACATTCCTTTCTTTGTCTCAAAGTTTGAATCCATTTTTTTTCAACAAAATGACCACTGGTGCAGGTACGAATTGGTCGCTTATTGAAGATGTTGCGTTGTGTACTAGCTAGGTTGAAGCTACTCATAGTTCGCTTACGGGTAATGAGATGCAGTTGCGAGAAATGTGGAGTCTTATTCATACCAATTTTCTTGAGAAAATTGGTGGGAAAAGAACCAAAGAATCGATGTCCAGTCGTTGGAAATTACTTAGCCAATCGTTTAGTACGTGGAGAGACGCTTTGGCACAAGCTAGTAGTAATATTCAAAGTGGGGAAAATTACTCGGATCAGGTAACAATATATTATTTATTTTATATCCAAATTTACATTTATTTATAATAATTTGTTTGTATTATTTATTTGTTATCTACATAATTTATTATTTATTATTTGTATTATTTATTTGTTACGTAAAAAATTTATTATTTATTGTTACTTATTTGTTACATTATAATTATGTTGTTTGTTACATTATAATTATGTTGTTTGTATTATTTATTTGTTTGTTACATTATAATTATGTTGTTTGTTACATTATAATTATGTTATTGTTACTTATTTGTTACATTTATTTGTTATGTTGTTTGTATTATTTATTTTTTACTTATTTTCATTAAAATTAATGTATAATATCACTTACATTAAGAAAAAAAAATGTGTATATTTAAGGTTAAAATTATTTACTAAACTTGGAACTCTAACCCCATGTTATGATTAACATGACATGTATATATATATATTTGCTAGGTATACATTTGCATGATAATTATTTATTATAATTATTTATGTGTTACTTATTTTCATTATAATTATTTATTTGTTACTTATTTTCATTATTTACTAAACTTGAAGCCTTCTTACTTATTTTCATTATATTTGTTACTTATATATATATATGTATATATTTGCTAGTTACTTATTTTCATTATAATTATTTATTTGTTACTTATTTTCATTATTTACTAAACTTGAAGCCTTCTTACTTATTTTCATTATATTTGTTACTTATATATATATGTATATATTTGCTAGTTACTTATTTTCATTATAATTATTTATTTGTATTATTTATTTGTTACTTATTTTTATTGTGTAGGAACTTCAAGCACAAGCTTGGTACGCTGCCAAAACCAAAACCAAAAATAAATCATTCAACCGGTGGGAATGTTGGAATATTGTCAAAGATTGTCCTAAATTTAGAGTTGTGCCAGTCGGTCCAGAAGTGCACATGAACAGCACCCCTCTACACTCTACACCCGATCATGTTCATGAAGATGATGCAGAAGAAGTGCCCGAAACGCCCCTCCCTGAACAAGCGTCGGGTTCGACCCGTTTTCCAATTAGGCCTCAAGGTAAGAAGGCTTCAAAGAGAAAAGGGAGTGCTTCCAAGAACGATTATGCAAAGTTCATGGAAGAACTTACTTGCCAAGGTGAATTGACTTTGGCGAGGGAACTGGCGAAAGATGAGGCTGATAAGGCTGATAAGGCTGATAAGGCATCAAAAGCAGCAGCTGTTGAGAGAGAATTTTATGCTAATGAGAGAGAAAGAGAGCTACTTAGGCAAGAAAGGGAACATGTTAGAGAAGAAAGACGGGCTCAACAAGATCGTGAGATTATGAACATGTCTTTAGAAGGGAAGTCTCCAAATTCTAAATTTTTTTGGAAGTCAGAGAAAGCGGACGTGGTGCGAAGGAGGCGTGCAAGAGAAACAATAGCAAGTCAAGGTGGTTCTAGCACCGCAAGAGAAGATCATCCTAGCACCACAAATTGGTTAAGTGATGATGAATAGAGTACTTTTTGTAATCGGAGCCCATAATTTTCCAATCACTTTGGGTTGTAATTTATTATTTATTGTTTGTATTATTTATGTTGTTTCCATGTTCATGAATATTTATTCAAATTAATTTGGTAAGTTATTTATACTAAGAATTAATTTGGTAAGTTATTTATGTTGTTAAAAGTCCATGACCATGACCATCGTTCTAATTAAAAGTCCTTGTATAAAATAATTAAAAGTCCATCGTTCTAATTAAAAGTCCTTTACATAGATTAAAACTCACACGAAGTGTGACTCTGTTTTCTTCTTATAATATATATACTAAGAATTATATAAACATAAACATAAAAAAATTACATATACTAAGAATTACATAAACATAAACATAAAAAAATTACATAAACATAAACATAAACATACTAAGAATTACATAAACATAAACATAAACATACTAAGAATTACATAAACATAAACATAAAAAAATTACATAAACATACCAAATAATAAAACACACCAAATAAAATAACATAAACATACCAAATTCAAAATAACACACTAAATGAACTTAATTATCTTCAGCTTGTTTCAATGCCCACTGGTGCTCTATCAAGTCAATTTGTCGGGCATTGTGCATGTCTGGCATTTGAAATGCAGTATATCGTTGAATGAGCCTTTCATTGTAACGTCCATCCCTTTGTAATGGCTCATGTTGCACGGGCTCATCGGTGGCGTCATGAGCACAATATATACGTGTTCTTGAATTGTTCATCGGGTCTGGCTCATATTCATCAACAGCTTCATAATCGTACTCATCTTCCACAATCATGTTGTGAAGAATGATGCACGTCATCATGATGGATCGAAGCGACTCTACATCAAACAATCTGGCAGCACCCTGACGATCGCCCAGCGAGCTTGGAGGATACCGAAACAACGCTCCACATCCTTCCTGCACCCCTCTTGACAGCTTGCAAAGTATTTTTCCTTCGCACTCCGTGGACGTGGCACTGTTTTGACAAATGTTGACCAGCACGGGTAGATGCTGTCAGCTAGGTAGTATGGCCCGTCGTATATACGTCCGTTGACCTCATACGTAACTTTTGGTGCCTTTCCTTGCAGGACATCGTTGAACACTGGGGATTGGGCAAGGACGTTGATGTCATTTTGAGCTCCCAGGACCCCGAAAAAGGCGTGCCAAATCCATGTATCAAAAGATGCCACCGCCTCCAGAATGATACTTTTTGCCCCTTTTTCTGTCCCCGTAAGCGCCTTGCCATGCACTTGGACAGTTTTTCCACGTCCAGTGCATACAATCAATGCTTCCAATCATCCCAGGAAAGCCACGCATCTCCGCCTTCTTCAACAGCCGCTCCAAGTCCATGTGTGTGGGTTTGCGGAGGTACTCAGCGGTGTAGATAGATTCGATTGCTCCGCAAAACCTCATCAGGGACTCAAGAATGGTTGATTGCCCCATCCTCGTTATCTCATCTACTTGGTCTGCAGATGCTCCATATGCAAGCATCCGCAAGGCAGCAGTAATTTTTTGCTCCGGCAGTAGACCCATAGCACCAAAAACATCTTTTTTTTGCACAAAATAAGAATCATGGTTGCAAACAGCAGTCATGATTTTGTTGAACAAATGTCGTTTCATTCAAAAACGACGTCTAAAGTACGTATCAAGGAATGCACTATTAGGAACAAAATAATCATCCAAGAGTTCCATACCTCGTCGTTGCCTGCTTCTATCAAGGTTTCCGGAACGGCTGGGCCTGCAGATCTGAGCCGCAGCTTGGATGACTCGACGGGAATGTGAGGCTCTGCCCCTTCTTACTTCGTCATCTCTCATTTGACGCTCCTCATCCTCTTCCCTCTCATTTCTTACCCCCTGGTGATTGAACATTGCTTCTGATTCGTTAAACAAGTCTTCCTCTTCCTGATTCAATTCCCACATCATCCTTGAGGAAGAAGAAGAAGATATTGAAAGAAAGAAACAGAAACTATGAATAATGATACAGATTTTTGTGAATAAGGAAGCAGAAATTATGAATAATGATAGAGATCTTGAGAATTTTGGTGTGAGATTTGTGAAGATGGATGGTGGATTATATAGAGGATTCAGAAAGGATTAGGTTGTGCATAATGCCACGTGGCATGCCGTCATTCGTTAAAAATCTGATGGAAATCTATCATCAAAGATTGTGAACAGATTATGACACGTGGCATGTCGTCATTCGTTAAAAATCTGATGGAAATCTATCCTCAAAGATTGTGAACCGATTATGACACGTGG